TTTTCAGTCATGAAACTTTTGAATATTTATTATCAAAACAGTTTTAAAACTCATTTTTGATTTAAAAATAACATTTCCAACGATTATAACAACAAAGAATTGCTTCAGAAGTGGTCGACTAATACTGAGACAAATCGTTTGTCTAATTTAGAGGCAGAGATGCCATCATTAGCACCCAGGGCTAAGTTCTGCCATTCGGACGGTTGACCTATAATTATGACAATTAAGATTAGCATCAAGACATGTAATGACAGGCAATTTGATAGTTCTGACCATTGTTTGTGTCACTAGACTTGAGAGCAAAAGCCCAGCCCTCGGGGTTTACAGAAGCGCAGTGCGGGAGTCGTAACTGTCATATTGAAAACCAAACAATTATTTTAAGTACAATCCATTGGCAGAGGGTTTACCTCAACGGGCACTTCAAAGCGCAGTCCGTGTGGTCCACACATCACTATAGGACTCATCAAAGTCTCGCCCTTTTCCGAGTCCAACGGCGGCGCCATTTTCATGTCCTGACATACTTTGAAGTATATTTCCTGTTCACTATCCTTGGGAATAGCACCCATAGGTATAATAACACTGACACCCGTCTCCTCTGAAGTCAATATCCCTCCATCACTAGTGAAGACTCCTTTCGCGGTCGCAATAATCGTGTGATTGCTGTCGACCGAAGAAGTGGACAAACGATCGCTAAAACCAGAAAATACCGAAAGAGATATAGAAGAGCAGCCAATAACCAAAAGAGTGTTACAAACACAACAGATAACCCCTACACCCGAGTGCCCAACCTTTACACCGATTGATTAGAGATAGAAATGTATAGGTGTAAAAAGTAGCATACATTCATGAATACACTAGATATTGAAAACTGAAGTAATATTTAGCATTCATTTCAATCCATTAAATTCTCTCAGAAAGAAGTTTAAAATCTTTAAAAGTAGCAGAATTGATCAAGATCATAGATGAGTGAAGTAATGGTAAATTTATAGGAGGTCACGTACAAGATATAAGTAAATGAAATGATAAATAAATTTTGTTAATAAATTGCAAACAATTAAATGTTTTCAAAAAGGAATTAAGAAATAAACTGCAAATATGACACAAAATCAAATTTAATAATAAGAAATCAAATGAAAATATAATGGTTTACATAAAACTTAATTTGATGGTTGGCTTTAAATTGAAAAATGATTTAAAATAAATATTTCATACAAAAAAACTTATTACAAAAATAGTGTTTCATAAAAACAATTGATTTTATGGTGTACTAATTGAACCCTACAGCACCTCTAAGGATTTACTCAATTTTACTTTTATTTCAATTATAATTCATATATATTGAGCTTATTTTACAATTTCATGACAAAACGCTTTAATTTCTATAAAAACCAAAGAATTTTTGCTTCAAAATAATGTTAGTTTTAAACCAATTAATTATATAATTTATTATTTCTATCGATTATATCATAAGTTTATTATGAATTTAAATATTATTTTGTTTTTATAAATTAAACATGTGAGCATTGAATAGGTTTTAATAATTGTTAATAAATAAGTCATAACTTTTAAGCATTTTTTATAAATTAAACAAAATTTCTCATATTTATTGTATATTTCAAGAAAAATTGAGTTGAATTGCACGGAATATCTAATCTAATGATTTTAATTAGTATTTTCTTACGTAAATATAATTTTATTAACAAAATCATTGCACAAATCACGAGAACTTAGAGAATTCTTAACAAAATTAATTAATTCCCTTTTGATAATTATATTTTGAGTGGTTATCAGAATAATTCAATTAAATCTATAAGTTTTATCTACTAATTGATTGAGGTGTGGGTTGGATAAGAAAAATATAAATAAAATAAAATATATTTATAGTAAAGAATATGTTAAACTACCTTAAAATATTGTATAAATAATCAAATGAGTAGATTAAGAAAGTTTAATTAAATACATTATCTAAATAAAAATGTAAGTAATTAGATAAGTAGTGATGTTTAAATAGGTGGGACAGAAATGAATACCATTAATTAATTTTAAGACAATTTTAAAGATTGTCTGATAGTGTACTAGTTCCAAATACGGCAATCAAATTATTTATGATGTTAAACTCAAATATAAACAAAGTCTTAATTTCTAATCCCATATCCATTACATAATTTCTATATAACTATTCAATACTCGGCTCTGATTTTGAGTCACTTTTATAAAATATAAGTAAAAATAATTAAACTTAAAAATACAATTTATAATAATAATACTGAGAATGTATTGAAATATAACTAAATAAATACAACAAATGAAGGCTTGAAGAGTCAGACTTGTCTTACTTGTGCTCACTATTAACGAGGGGAGGAGGAGGTGGTGGGAGGCCGTGGTGTCCGAAACTGTGAAGATTTGATCGACTCGTCGATTCCGTGGGTTTGCGGTAGAGTTCAAAAGCACTGCCTCTATGTTCACGATTTGTGGACAAATCAAGAATACTGGGCGGCGGTTGTAGGGTCTGTGGGGGCGGGGGTTGTGGTTGGGATGTGAAGGTTGAGGTACGCGAATGTTTTGGCGGATACGGGACATTGAGATACGGCCCGTTTGTGGCGTAATTGTCTTTAATTGGCGATGAATTGGTTTTGGCAAATGAATTATAAGGAGAGCGCATCTCATAATTGGTTTTGGAGGTCATGTAACCACTGCTGTCAGTATCAGAATACGGACCCCTTTTCATACAATTGACACATTCATTAATTGGACTCTTATTATAAAGCAATTCAAAGAATAACTCACTTTCTAATAGGAGATCCAAAAGAGGACTGTTCGGCGTACAGATTGTTATTGACCTCTCCGTTCCCATTAGACAGTGCCGGTGCTCTCATGTTTGACGGAAAGTCTTTTGATGTCATTGAGGAGTAATAGGCGGGCGGACCGTTAGACTCGAGGTTGGGATGAGTGGAGCGCTTCGTCTGTTGATATACCGGAGAATAACCGAATCCATTGGTTTGCAAATTGGATGGCATTTGACTCATATTTGTGTCGTTGGCGTCGTTATCATTACTCCAGGGCCTCGACTGATAGTGAGAAGGCTTTGGCGGTGGGACGGGTCGGCCATCAGTCATACGACTAAACAGTTAGGATTCAATGAATTAAAGTTTATGCTAAAGATGTTTAAGAGACATACGAATGATATTTATTTGAAGGCTTAGGTGGTGGTGATGGTGGGACAGGTCTGTTTGGTAAGGGCTCCACGTATTTAGTAGGTGTTGTCGTTGGTTTGACAGCTCTTTCGGGGCTCTGAGGCTTCATTTGATTCTGGATATGATTCATAGCCGTACTTCTGGTGAACCGGTAGGGATCGTGGGCTGGCCTTCCATTCGATGAAATAGAGTTATAGCGCTGTTTGTTGTCGAGAGTACTCGAAGGACTGCCGTATTTGTTATACGAGTCACTACTATATGAAGAACTGTCTCCAAAGGCACCACTAATATGTCTGCCATTAGTCATCGCCGGTCTGTCCAATGAATCGCATTTCTGAGACTGAGGGACAGGAGCGGGCGGGGATGTAGTGTTGATATAGTCGGGTGCGGTATAGGACTCCCGCTCACGTCTACCGAAGAGCCTCTCGTGAGCGCTCCTGAATCGGGAGGGCTTACTGAGCCTGTCCACTCTGGGCGGGGGTTCGGGACCTGTCTTTGTACCATAAATATTCTCGTTTGAAGGACCGGGCGGTGGATATCTTTCTCCTGCTTTTAACGTATTATAAGCCGAAGAATCCTTTGGACTCCCAAAATAATCATCTCTATCGGCATCGCTTATGGCAGTGGAGGGGTTAGAGGGGTTGGCATTTGCAGTGTGTGCTGAAGACTTAGACTTTGCCTCATTTGTCAACGCCTTTGAGAGTTCCTTGGATTGAAAAGAAAATCATTTCATATAATATATACTTATTTGGATACAAATGAATGAATTGAAGTAATCATACCTTTCGTAAGAGAATGTGAAGCGGAAGCTAATAAGACAAATGAAGTCATGAGTAAACTTGTAGTCAATTATTGGATGAGAAGATGAATGCAATCATTGATTACCTGTTTGTTTGGCCGTTGACTATAAGGCGGAGGATATCCAAAGCTATTCATTGCAATGGGATTCTCATCTGCGGTGGCAATACTGGGATCACTGGACGCTTTGACCAACCGATGAGAGGTGTCGTCCTCGTTGTCCAGTCGGGAATCATTGGCCAAATCGAGATCACTTTCAGGAGATGAGGCGTAACTCAATCGGGATGTCATTGGGAATAAGAAGTCGTCTCCAATGACTTCTTCTGGTTTGGATTCTGCGATCCAAATGCTCTGTTGCTGTTGTTTGTCAATAGTTTCGCGTAACTTCTTATACCACATGTCAGCGTTGGTCAGAGTGACTGTAGCCGTGAATACATGGGACCAAAGTTTTTCCAGTTTCACCGACTGTTCGTAAAGTTTACGCGAACTCTTGTGAATCGATTTCGAGGAACGGGATCTCATTTCCTTCACAACAGACTTGTTTTCAGCTCTCATGAAGATTACGATCGGATAAAACTGGGCGTAATTCAGACGATCGACAGCACTGGGAGTGATGTCCAGCAACGCGTGTTTTCCTTTGTCCACAATCTCTCGGATAGCACTAAGTCTTACAATACCATTGAATTTGGAGCTTTTGGGCACGTCTTCCATATTAGTGTCCAGTTGTGGGAAACCATATTTGTCGGGATAGTCCTTCATTAGCTTCTCTCGCGCCACGTCTGCCAGTGGGCCAAACAGGACGACTGGCCGAATGAAACCGGGATGTTTAAGGGTTACCCTTTCATAGGCTGCAAATTTTGAGAGACTATCGCCGAACACCACATCCTCCCAGTGATCTTTGCTCAGAGATTTAGATCTTCGGGCGCTTCTCCTCTTGAAGAAACTGCCCCTCCTTTCACCCGTAGACGTGTCCATCTTTTTAGCCTTTTCTGTGTTATGCTCGGCGGCCAACTCTTCAGCTCTGTTTCTGTTAGGAACGGATCCCTTTTGGATCTCTTGATTGTTGCGACCGAGTCTATAGACAAGCCACGAACCAACCACTCCGTTGAACAGAGTGTCGATCACATGAAACACTTCTCCGACGTGGAAAGACAGCTCCCCTTTGCCGGCGCTGTCGTAAGTGAAGTGAACTCTAATATAGAAAGAGTCGCCCTTTTGGTTGGCAACGATTTCGTCGTATTCCTCCTTTCGGTTTTGGACCACAAGATCTATCTGTTCCTGAAGACTGAGAAGAAAGAGAACCGCGTCCTCTCGTGTCACTCCTCTCATGTCTTTTTTGTTGGCTTTCAATATCTTATCCCCCGATTGTAAGCCTTGCAACGATGCAGGACTTCCCGGCTGTACTGCCGTCACGAAAATGCCCACTTCGTTACCTCCCGTCAGTCTTATGCCAACACTTCCATCCTTTTGGAATGATATGAATCGGGGCTCACATATGACACCGATTTGCTGTTTCCGACGGGACAGTGGGTCGTCATCATAGGTGTTGGGTCGGGGCGGTGGCGGCCGTGGGGGAGGATCTGAATCGTTTGGAAGCGAAGGATCTCTGGAATGGGTGGTAAGGAGAGGAGTGGCCGGTTGGTCCAGTTGTTGCAGTGATATGTCAGATATGGGCCCTCTATTCCTTCCAGAGGGTCCCTGCGATTGCATCAATAAATTATTCTTTTCGTCTGACGTTTGGCCAAAATCTCCTGAAAAACACGAAAACAACAAATTAGTCATTAGTTTAAGAAGTTATAAGAGAGACAAACCTCTAGTGGGCGGCTGGACGTAGACATTCTGATTACTCCAATTGGATCTGTTAGTGCTCTGAATGTTATCATAAGTAGTTTGGTCTTTGATGGCAATGGCGTTATCGTAGAGATTAGCGGTCGAATATCTGGACTGCCCATTGGAATAGCCGTTAATATTTTCATTTTGTCGACTGTTATTAACATTTTGTTCGCGATTTATAACTAAATTCAGTTTTTCTTTGCTGTTTTCAATCAACTTTTTAGCCTCTTTTAGATTCAAGTTCTCAGTACTCGTAGTGTTTATCTGGAATTCAATTACAAAGTCATTTAGAATTGAATTCATGAATAGATTCCTATAGAAGCGCTCACTTTAACGATGATATCCCCCTCTTGTAAAGACGATTCTTTGTCAATAAGATTACGATTTGTGATCTCTTTAATGAAGAACTTGCAGCCGAGAACTATTCCGAAGTCTATATTTGGTTAACAATTGAGTGTCAATGCGAGTGATCATAAAAGTTTGCATAAAAGTCTTTTACCATCTTTTTTGTTGCTTTTAGTGAGCGTTACTTTCAGTAAATCACTGTTTGGTAATAAAGTCCTCCTTTTGATCAATAAGTTGACAGTATTTCCACACTCGCGAAGAACCTGTACTGCAGTCGTGTAGTCGACATTCTCTAAGGAGACGCCGTTAGCACTCATCACTCTATCGTTAACCCTATTTCAGAGGCGAGAAGTCATTAAATAAGTCAATCATTTACAATAAACTACTCATAAGTATTAAGTTTAGTACAAAACCAATACTTACTGTAACTTCCCTTCGGCCGGACCTGCTTTAAGCACATCCGATATTGCAATCGATGGCTCGCCGTTAATAAAGTGTGGATTATCTCGACCTCCACTCACGGCTATACCAAATCCATATCCGGGAACTCTAGTGAGCGATACATTCTGGTACTCCCAGCCCACCCGTTCACCTCCCTGTTCAACATAAACACAATTTATTAGAATTGTCCGTTAGTTTAGATAACATAAGAAATGGAAATGAAATCACATTCAGTTGTTTGTGTGACTGCTTAAAGTAAACTTTTGAAAATTTGTTTGCCATAAAATATTTAAACATTTTAAACTATTTTAAATATCATATAAATGAGTTTATATTGTAATCAAAGTAAGTATGAGTGAAAGAAATCGAGAAATATTTTAAATAATCTAATAATAAAAGAAATTTAACTATTTGTTATAAAAAAAAGAGTGAAAAGTATAAGAAAAAGTAGTGTAAAAATCAAACAAAAGTTGTTTTCAAGTCGAATAAGAACTATAGTTTAACTTTTGAAAGACATTGGAAATGATCCAAAATTGAAAAATATATTTTTAAACACTTTATATTTCAAATTAATATAATTTAAATTCTAGTAATGATTGAAATAATTTATGTTTAAAAACTTAATAAATAAAAAATAATGGTAACAAAACAATAAAAAATATTATTTCAATTAAAATCAAATATAAATCATAGAATTATGTTTTATATTGATTTAAATGTTAATTGATTGGAAAATTGAACCTTTAAAATACAATTTTACTAATGTTTAAGCAAATTTTAAACCAAGATTTATTATAAAGGCAAGTCATGGTGTGTATATACCGGTGCTCATGGGGCTAGTTAGCGATTAAAAGCATGAATCAAATTAAGAGAATTTATTATTATGAATGAGTTGTGAGACAATTATATGCAATAATGACTGCGAAAGCTATGAATATCGCAATGAATGGCTGTTCACGAGTGACAAACCTGTCGTCTTCTGGACAACGACCTGTCCCTAGAATGGGAGCGCCTACTCTTTGAACCACTCTTATCACTCTTAGCCTTACGTTTTGGACTCTTTTTGTTTGCAACACTTTTTTTGCTCTTATTTTTGTTTGTCTGCGATTTATCAGTCGTTGTATTTAACGGACTCTTTCTGTGATCACTGTATTTATTGACACGTATTTTAGCGGTTCTTTGCAGTGAATTAGTCTGAAGTCGCACTTGATTTTGGTTCAGAGGATAACTCAGGTTTTGTATCCTTTGGAAAGCCATTCGTGAAGACGAGCGCACAGGAGTTGGCGGTTGAGTGAGTGGAGGACTCCGGGAATAGACAGGTCTTCTGAGGGGACCAATTGGTGAGAGAGGTCTGGGATGGTTGGGTGTGAATCCCGGTTTGGGTACGGGTTGAACGCCGAGCACCCACTTGGCGACCTCTATGTCTCGGGGCATATACTCGGATCCGCTAAACTCATCGGAAAATGCGGATCGCCTGCCACTCGACGCCTTATAGCGGCCCTGTTTGCCAGCCCTCACATGTTTTCGTGACTTTCTTTGCTTCTTTTGACTCACAAACAACTTCTTTCTGATGTATCGCAACATTATTTGCACTCAAGAAAGCGGTGTAAACCCAAAATGAATGCAAAACGCGAACGTATCCCTAATTTATGATTTAATCGACTAAACAATTTTCATAAATATCTTTACATAGCATTCACTCACAAGTGTAAGCCTCGAACAACTAATTCACTTCTAATTCAGTATATTTTTTGTGAGCATTTCGGACAACAGCTGCAAAACCTCAGGTGCAGTGAAAAGAGGGAGGAATAGGAATACAATCGATATTTCAGATAAGAGTGGAGTTTGACTTAAATATAAGTTATATATTAAATATTGTTTATATAATGCTCTGATCCAACAATTCGTGACTTATGCTCTTATATGTAATCTAACTCTTAGAGTACTTTTATTTTTACCAATTTTTTCTGTACACCAATGATTCAAATAAATTATTATTGAGTTAATAACATAATACTTCTCATAACTGATTGCTTTTTTCTGGGGAAGGGATAACTCTTTTGATATAATTCTTTTACACTATCGATAGAGTTGTGGGTATTTTAGCAGAGATTGCCATCAGATTATAGTTTATATGACTCGAGAGCAGAAACTTTTTTATTCTTTAGATATGTGTAGAGTATTCAGGATTTGGTTTTTTAGTGCCCTTTAATTCTTACAATAATTATTTGATGGTTTAAACCGACGTATTTGGAAAGTCATAAACTGGTTGATAAGATCTAAACGGCCAATATTTCCCAATATTTTAGTTATTAATTTATACTACTTTTTAAAGATTTATGATTTGCACCACAACTTTATTTTATTGTAAAATTATTGCCACAAAAATTCAGCTTTGCATTTCATTGATATTCAAAACAATTTATTAGCACACAATATGTTATAAAAGAAATTCTATCATATAATCCAAATACTGCTTAATAATTATTCAAAGTTTGACTGAAATAGTTTACGAACAAAAAATATTATATTTTATAAATTATTTAAATTGAGTTCAACACTGAAATTGATGGCTTGAAACAGATAAATGTTTTATTATTATATTCATTTCGTATTTCCTGTAAGGTTTACAAACCAAATAATTTGCATCATTTATGTTCTTATTAATAATAGACATTCAAAACTTTAATTAAGTTTGTTAAACAATAAATTATAGTTATTTCTAAAAGTATGTTTAGTGTATGTTGTCAAAGGTATTGTAAATTTACAACTGATAGGGTATTCAAAACATATTTCACAAAAGAATTGATTTTTATAAATGAATAAAAAATTGCAAAACTAAAAAAAGTTTTTAAAAAACTTAAAATATTTGAACACTAAGAAGATTAGATGAATACTTGTGTAGCAAATGATTTATTTTCATTAAAAACTAAAAACATAAAAGTGTGTCAAAAGTTTCAACCAAAATGTGGTCTTAACGTAAAGTAAAATTAAATAATTTTTATGAAAAACCTGCGATACATTGAAATGAAAATAATAACTTATGTCTCGAAAATTTGTAGTCATTTAAATTTTGCGTTAATTAACAACATTTTAAGTGTCCATTTGAGTGGAGACTTGGGAAGCCATTGATGTGAAGTTCACACGCGCTTCCAGTCTTAAGTCAGGAATGATAATAATAGGCTTACACGCAATCAAACCAATTATCTCCATATACTCATCAGTTCCCCACCAAAAGTTTGTGACAAACTTTTTTGTGTTTTTTAATCAATTTTTTCTTTTTCAAAACTTAGTCTCAATGAATTTATTTGTCAATCAATTTTTGTGAAAGCTCTGTGATATTGTTTTATAGGATATGTATTACGAATGCGAACAATAACTGACATATCAAATATGATAATTGAATACAAAATGGTAAAAATGAATGAAAGATAAGAACATTTCATAAAATTTTAGTTTTTTTCAAAACAAACCGTTTAATAAATCACTCAATAGTTTAGAAAGTATTCACTTTTATCAACAGATGTGGTAAGAGATTAAAAACTACAGAACAGAATATTTTAGGGAGAGTTTTGAAAATCGTAAATACTTTGTAAGACTTTGTGAAACATTTTTTCCATAAAAAGCCTAAAATCATAAATTATTGATTTCTCGTTTAATAGGACCGGCGCCCCAAATATGAGGCATATCTGCAAATATTTTTACTCTTAAATGAACGCAAATACACTCATAAACCTGTAAACCCCTTAAATAGCAGACGAATGCTAAAATAATTCAAGAATAATATGAATTAATTAAAAAACAAAGTTTTCACTCAAAGTCCAATTCTTGTGCTAATAAAAATACTGTATATGATATATAAGTCAAACTTTTATTGTATTTCATGAGAAATCTATGCGAATAACTAAAGCATTCAATGTTTATTTTACAAAATTCATTTCAATTTATTTGCTAAAATTCATATTTATTTAGTTTTTGAGCTCAACTCTACATTTAGTAAAGTATTTTTGAGGTAAAAAATAATGTAAGAAATTCTATGCAAACAAACGATTAAACTTTAATTAGAGTCAGGAATGGCTAAGAAATTGATGAAACATTTCAATATGTGAGTCAAAAGAATGAGCAAAAATATGCCCGAAAAAACTTTAATTACAATTTTCATATAAGTTTTAAAAAACAGGTTGTCTTGTGTTCACTACTATTACTGCCAGAGAGTGTATATTCACTACTCGTGTGTCTTTGAGGCAAGAAATGTTGGCAATTATTGAATGCATTTATCGTAATAAGAGATAAGAAAGAAGAAAAGCTCTAAATTGACTCATAATTACTTTATTTCAAATAAATTCATGAATTCATTAAATCTATAAAATAGTGCAAAAATTGTCCACAAAAACCGTAAATATTTGGTCCGAAGTTAAAGGATATAAATATTTTGAAAACACTAAAGAGATGGGTCTCTAAACTCAACTCTCATTCAAACGATTCTTTCAAACATTAAAAAATTTAAAAACAAATTATTCTAGAATTCAAACGTATCTCTCAGTTCTCTCTCTCTCTCGTTCTCTCTCTCTCTCTCTCGTTCTCTCTCTCTCTCTCGTTCTCTCTCTCTCGTTCTCTCTCTCTATTGGGGGTAAAATGAGTGGAGAGGTGTTCGCCCAGAGAGAGCCCGAGGAGTGAGTTCTGGATTAGCGATAGTTTTTTCATACGGTTTACAAGAAAAAGGCGTCCACTGGGGGTGTTATATACGACCGAAAAAATTCAGTTACATTTGTGAACTTATTTTATTCACATTTACAATTAGGAGGTTTAAGCTGTACCCGCCCTTACTGTTTAAAGGGTATGGGTAAATACCATTCTCTCTCTCTCTCTCTCTCTCTCTCTGACGAGTGTGAGTCAAGATTTCGAGTTTTGTAGTTCTAATGGATAGGTATTAAAATACCAAAAGATAAGTGAGAGTAGTATTGAATGCAAAACCAAATTCAATGACAAGTTTTCAATTAAAGTAAACTTCAGAGAGAAGCCCCTCATTCATACGATAACCGAAATTTTAAAAGTCATTGTTTTAAGAAGTTTTAAATATTTAAAATTGTAAAATAATCCAAAATATGTTAAGTTTAAAAAGTTCTCTATGATATTCAACGGCTATATAATATGGTTTTAAGTCTTATAATAATTAATTAAATATTTTATAAGAATATTAAGTTAAGATTAAAAAACTTTTTATATAATTCACATGTATTTATTATATTAACTATGAAAGCCTATATTTTGAATAATAAATGTTTTTATTTATTAAACTGTGATATAAGATAAATGAAACATAAATAAAAATTGGGTTAATATTAATAAATCAAAACATTATATTAAAATAATTCAGCAATAAATGCGATTTTATATAGTTTTGGGTTTTGTATAAAAGCATAAAATTATGGGAACTGGATAATTCAGTGAAACATAAGTTTGATTTATATTTATCAAACGAAATATTGTTTGTGTGAAAAAGTATAAAGAGTTTAATTGATACCGATATGTGAAACACTGAAACAGTTTTATGGCATTAAATAAAATATTTGTAACACAAGAGAAGAATTTGAATTATTTTTGTAATTAACGTTCACTTCAATCAAATGTTAGCGCATTCTCGGCCCTAAGCTTTGCTTTTTTTTATTAGTTTTATTGCTTTTCATACACTATATTATAGTCGGAGAAAAATATTTTTTGCTAATTTAGGCGATAAGTAGAATGAGTTCTCAAATGAGAAAATATTAATTAAGTTTTGGAGATAGAGTTGGCAACGAGTGGTGTGTTTGCAAAGCCATTGATTCAAAGCATTGATAGTATAGTAAGAGAGACGAAAATATGTGGCAAAGGATGCGGACAAATGTATAGCCGATTGCTTACCATATCTATTGGTTTGTGTTGTGGAGAGAAACTTGAGATGTATTTGTGAAGTAACTTATTTCGAGTCATTCTTCGCACAAACCATTCAATACATGAATATTAATATTATTGTTGTGTTTAGGAGTCATACGAATGGTTGCGTGGATAGTATCATCACTTTTGTCACCCAATTGTCAATGAATAGTCAATGGAGTAGTGATTGTCTGAGACTTAGCACCACTTTGTTCACAGTATAAGTCATTCACGTGTACTCATTAACGACAAAAAACTTTGAAAGGCAACAAATATTGTGCACAAAAGTTACAGAACAGGCATTCCATGCGTTGGACAGGCATTACAGGCAGCGCCGAGGCTTTGGAGGCAACACTAGACAGACATTGAATGCGTCCAACAGTTGACCCAAACTCTCAAACTGAGCCCAAATTGACTTAAGAAAGTGGATGTTAACAAAGAAAGAGCTTTAAATCTGCAGAGATGTTGCTATAGTCACCACAAGTGCTCACATACTCCACACATACTGTGCCTGAAGAGCGATTGGATGGGCGAACCAACCGGTTCTCGGATCCCTCTAACTGTCTTAGACTTAGCTGGAGTGCTGCCTTTGACCTTGTCTGCCAACCACCACAAACTACCAGTCCCTCTACCAGTCCCTCTATGCCTCCACCAAATGCCTATGGCATGTA